TTTTGATACAATATTGCGAAATATATTTCGAAATATTTCGAAATTTTTATCGAAATTTTTCGAAAATTTTATATTTCAAAATATTTCGAAATTTTTTGCGCTAATTTGCGAAATTTTTTCATAACGCAAATTCTTTCGCAATATTTTGCTTATTTAAATTTGCTGATGTAATATATAGATAGTATTATCTTGGTTAAATGATAAACTAATATAGTAATAATAGATTTAGCATTAATAAAATAATTAAATTTTAAACAAAGAATAAAAATAATTAAATTTTAATAAAAGAAAAAATAGTTTTGAAATTTTTTTTTTTATCAATAAATTATAGAACCACCTACAGGCTCCACTTATATACTTCCAAATCAAGGCTATTGATGGATTTGATTTTGGCGTTCTGTAAAAAAAAAAACAGAAAATAGATATACTACTAAGTGCAAATATTGTATATTCAAACTTGAAAGTAAGCCAGCCTGATAGGCTTTACTAACATGTTCTCAAGTATAATAGCTAGCCAGTTTCACAAAAAGCTTATTACTTTAAAGAAGCTTCTAACCAAATGATCCCAAAATATAAGAGAGTTAAGTATAATTAGGATGAAGACAATTAAGAAGAACTCAGATCAACTATATAATCTGCTAAACAAAAAAGTATCTTAAATTGGTATGCCAGGCCTATATCTCGTACTCAATATGAAAAACTTTTTAAATACTATACAGATCAAAATAAAGTATATTAGAGTCATATTAACATTTTTTAATTCTAATATGAGCCTGATATTAAACCAAAGTTTGGCAGAAATCAGATACCAATAGAAGACCAATCAGGATAATATCAGTATAAATATATATTGGTTAAACCAATAGCTCTATAGAAATATCGATATAGCTATCAGATATAATGTTGATGACATTTCTATAGAGCTATCAGTTTAGCCAATATGTATTTATGCTGATATTACCCCAATTGTTTTCCTATTGATATCTGATTTCTGCCAAACTTTGGTTTAATATCAGGCTTATATTAGGATTAAAAAATGCTAATATAACCCCAATATACTTTATTTTGACCTGTGCTATTATTTATAACAATATTCTTTTTAATATTAATAAAAATTCTTACTTTCAAAATTTTCTCCAAGAATTAGCTCTGAGTTATCAATTTTCTTTCAGAAATATATTGCAAGAATGTATCTTAATAGCAACATTCTTTAATTTTTTTCAAAAAAAGCTAACCAAAATATCAACCTTTACTAATGCTATAATCTGTTTATTAGTCATATAATATACCATATTAAAAAATACTTCTCTAATTAAATCCTTTTATCAAATAACATTCAACACCTAATTAATACAATTAATAACAAACACAAATTTTCTATCGAACCATCCTAAAAGAATCACATAATCTTTTAACATGGGTTACAAATACTAAAACATATTTGAAAACTCTTTACAATTTAAGAAATCTTGAAAATGCATAGCACCTATATACCTATATCAAATCTGCAACCAACAAATAATGTGACCAACTTTAACACAACCTACTAAAATGATTAATAGCATATTAAATTGACACAAAGATCTAGTATTAACAATATTAAAACTACAACATATATCATTACTGATCTTAAAGTGATTAAATAACACATTAGCAACTACTTTGATAATTAGACAGCACACTAACCTTTTAATGAAACAATCTTTAACCAAATATGGAAAACAAAATATTAATCTAACCTAAATATTGATACAAATTGATATAACTCTACATTTACAGAAATAAATACTAGTGAAATTTTAAGTACAATTCAACAACCATCTAATAAAATCTATTTAATTTACTAATTTTATATAGTTCCTTTATTGTATTTATATTATAATTAATATTTTAATTAATATTAAAAAGCTAATTTAAAAGATTATATTATAATATATAGTAATTAATTTAGTTTTTTAAAAATTTTATTAAAGGTAAGCTATACTATATTTGATCCGAATTAACATCTGTATTAGAATTACACCAGCTTGTACTAAAAGGCTGTAAAACAATAATATGATATACTGTATAAATTACACAAAACCTAAGTAAAGCAGCCAAGTAAAACTATCAGATTGGGATATAAAAACTCTATTTATATTAGGATTATTGTCTAATTTAGTATTTTGTTAATACACAAAATGCAATTCTTATATATAAAATTTTGAGAAATCAATAATTTTTGACAAAATGATGAAATTTTCTAATTTGCAATTTCAGCCCAAAATGTCACATAACCTTCAGCATTAGCCGTCACAGTTAATGTGATTATTAATCTTTAATATTAATTGTCACATCGCGTGATGTCAGTATTTTGGCCTGTCGAAATTTTGAATATCGGGATTTCATGCTATATAGACCCAAAATACTTATCCATTAAGTGCAAAATAAGATCCTAACCATATTAATATATTAAGGTTAGAATTGGGATTAGAGTTAGAATTGAGTAAGGTAAAATTGCAAAAGAAACGTTTTTTGTTATATTATATAATGAGTAAAATTTTAAGATATTAGCATTTTTTCAAGTTTTATTATGAGGGGAGATTCACCCCGGTAAGAAATAAATTTGTTTTATGTATTAAACGCTAAATTCTTAAACATATAAATCAAATAAAAGACGACAAATCTGTAAGAGGGATTTTATCTAAAATATTCTGTACTTAAATTATAACATATATAAAATATTGGATAGTTTTGCTATCACGTACTGTATATGAGTGCTGCCAAGGAAAAACCTGACTTCGGACTTTCAATTATATTTTGTGTACAGTTAGTCGTTTATGAAAAATCTATCATTATGATGGATTTTTCATAGACGGCTGGTTTTCTCTTAGCGGCACCCATATAATGGATTGCTCAATTTTTAATAACGAGTATTAACCAATAAAAATTACTAGCACATGACTTTGATCCCCTATAAAAAAGCAAGGTATTGTCTTACAGATTTGTAGTTTAGTTTATAAATAATAAATCCGTAAAAGAGATTTTTAAAATAATTATATATTTGTTATAAAGTTATTAGATATTAAACAATTGCTAAAAAATCGGATATTTTTTTTGCTGTCCCGTACTGTATAAATTAGTCGATTGCTACATTTCTGACGTTAGAAATATTATGTTTTCACGTATTTTAAAACGACCTTTTTATTCCACTGCACCATTGTTAACATCTAAATACTTCAAACAAAAAAATTCAATTAACATTAATTTACAGCCAATTTCACGTATAATTCCAAGTTCTTCTCACAAACCATTCTCCAACTATCGTGAGCAACAGTTAAAAGGCTGGCGAAAATATGCATCTCAATTTCGCTCAAAACCTACATCTTACATAATTTCATTTGCTATTTTACATGAACTGACAGCAATAGTACCAATTCCAATTATTTATATTTTCCTTTCAGCTACTGGTATCGAAATACCTTTTCCACAACAAGCTTTGGACGAAGGAAATAAATTTATTAATCGAATTGTAGTTTACTATGGGTATTCACCTTTCGAAAATGGTAGTAGAAAGCTTTTGAATCTTGCTACAAGTTATGCAATTGTTAAGGTATGATTGTTTATGTGACGTATTTTCAACATCTTGCAAGTATATTAATTGTTAGTAAATACACGTAAAAAAATTTTAAAGGCGTTAATGCCTGTTCGTCTCGCGGCCTGTGCATTGATAACTCCTTGGACGGCTGAAAATGTTATAGGACCCATTACTGGTGTTTTCAAACGCATTGTCAGCAAAAAATGAAGTTAAATGAGATGATAATATCGGAAAATAATACTTGTGTGACAAATAGTATAGATATACGCGTGTGACTTTGATGTTTTCTATATGATATATATAGCGATAGTATATATAAAATTACATCACGCTGGATACTGTTTGCCGAAAATTACATCATATAGATCTTGGCTTATCAACTAGACTAAGCCAATAAAATTTTTACCGGGTGATGCCTTAGTCGATTTTCTAATTGGGCCTGGTACGCACCTATGGTGATTGAAACGATTCTTTTCTTAAAGTTGTAATGTTTAAACAAGTTTAAAGTGCCACGTGACCAACTGCCAAATTGTAAATTTATTACATATTGAGGCAGTTGCCATACGAACATAGTGAATTTATCATCTGATTTTAAAACAACGACTGACTACAGAACTATCGACCAGAATCACTATTATACAATAGACAGGATAGTTTTTTAGTACCAACAGATGACCATTCACTTGATATATCTAATTTTTGTAATATTATTGTTTGAGACAAAAAAATTATTGCAAGCTGACGCTAGTTAAAGTGTTATTTACATATTTGTCAAAATATTTAATAAGGTGAAGACTTATGAAGTAGATCCTTTACATATTCGCGAACAGTTTCATCTAGGATCTCGTAAATATCCTTACAACCTAACGCAGCCATATTCATCACTGGCTCCAATTTATCAACATGGAGACGTGAATCCATCTTTGCAAATGATGTATTAAATGATTAATTGTGGATATATCATTAAAAAAAAAAAAAGCAAACATATTTGTACAGAATCCTGAATTACCTGAAGAAGTGTAAACTTTCCAGACTTAGGTAGTAATGCAACTGTTAATTCTGGAGTATCAGCCATTTCTTCAGCGTTGTTGAGGTCTAAAAAATTACGTTGACAGCTTTTACGTTAAATAAATGAGTGCCACAACGTGAAAACCATAAAGTCTAAGTATATATTACTAACAAATATTGTTCTATATTTAGACTTCCTGGTCTCACCTGGCGACACTCAATAAACCATATAATCTATATGTATGTGACAAACTTCGACCTACCCAACAATATATGATTTTCATGACACCCCGCTGAACAAGCGCAAACATATTCCTGCATCGGTATACCAGCGTCGATCAAAGCTAATGTAGCGGCATTAATACAGATTTGAATAGTACCTAACGAAACAAATAGAATATTGCAATTGTTTAAATAATTCATTATTTTAAAACAAGAAATTTAACAAAATACATACCTCCATCAAATTGCAAGATTTGTAAATAGATATCAATCTGGGATCTAGCAAACAAACTAGTCATTATAACTGGTTCAAAGGTTTGTTTGACTGCAGATGCGATTTCTAATAGTCGCCTATATTGGAAAATATATGAATGTCGATTTATGTATATATGTATACATGTATATTTATAAAGAATACCTGTCAGATTTCGATCTCTTTCTTCGTTCTTGGGGCATGCTAAAAGGAGCTAAGCTAATTTCCACATTGATATTAGCTTTATTATGTATGACTTGAGCCTTTTGTCTAGTCTAACGAAAGTCGACATATTAGTGTATTAATACTTTTTTCTCGAGTAATTAACTCCAAAAATACCTCTCTTGGTCCATAAACAGCTGCCAAGCATTTTGTATTTCCTTGTTCGATATAAGCTGATCCATCAGCTTGGCTTAACACAGAAGGCTTACACTTAATTTTTCTTAATTCATTGGCACGACGACCATCCTGTCGCAATCCTGTAGTCCGAAAAATTCGATTATTTGCAAAATAATTTGATCGAGGATTTAAGAAAAAAGGGAAAAAGCTCGACCTTGAGGGCCTATTATCTCTTGGCGCGACTTTGTTATTTACAGTTGGACAGTTTAAAAAAATATGAACAGCATTTTGGTATTAAAGAAAACAAAATTAATTTACCATTAAAGAATTAATGTTGCTGACAATTAACCATGAATTCATTTGATTGGCTATTTATTTTGCAAAAAATCATTTTTGTTGTGACCAATTACATTACGGCTGTATTACCACCATCGCAACCTGTTGTGATAAATGTTTAAGGTCATCGTAGTGGTGGGTCGCAATACTTGTCGTATTGATATATAGCACATTGTAGATTTGGAACTAGAAAATAAAATATCTTTACACTTCTGTACGAGTAAGCGCAGGTTTTTGTTTCAAAAGAAGATAAAATGTATAGTTCAAATTATAACATAAATATAAATGAATAAAATATGAACCAGAGTATATGCGAATACTTTGTACGTAACAATAAATACGTATATGTTTCAGAAAGCCCAAAAATAATTATGGATGTTTTATTATTTTGCTAGCAGCAAATTTGCTCTTTTGTCAATGAATTGTTCAAGTATCAATTGCAATTTGTATTTTGATTATAATTAATGAGCATCGTCACATTTACTACGTAGTTGAATTGTCATTAAAAATTTTATAAAAAACATAACTTTGTATATTTGAGTTGTCATCAAAAATTTCATATAAATATAACTACGTATGCACCCACCAGTTAGGATCGGATGATCGTCCAGAAAGATATTTTTCGTTTGTCTATTCTTTCTGAAGAGAGATGCAAAACATGTTACAGACAAGTTTTTAATGTTATGAACAAGCTATTATTTAATTACAAGAAACCATCAAAATAAGCTTTGAATATATCGAACCTATCTATGCCACTTCAGCAAATATTTTCGTTAGCTTATAAGTATCAGGTTGAAAATTGCAATAACTAAGTGTGAAAATAAGCCGTTTGAAGAAGGTATTGAAATTGGTTTATTTTATTAATAATAATTCAAAATCTGGTTAATAATTACATAGCGATAAAGATCTAAATAAGCATATAATGCCTGAAAAGTTTTTTAAACGTATCATTGGTGATATAAACTAACTTCTTAACAGCGTGGAATATTTCGAAAAAGGATATGAAAAATCTAAATATTTAACGATGGGCAAGTTAGTGCTTTATCTATTCCAACAAGATTCCTTATCACAGTCGAAAAAAAATCATGTACAGAAAGAAAATATTAATCTAAGATGAAGAAGTATAATAAAAGATTAACCACAAAAGGAGTGCAGTCAACTCTTTCTACGTATAAAGAAAAGATTCTGGAAGAAAAAAAAAATTCGGTATAAAAAATTACTATATTTTATTAAAAACACATAGCACTTTTTATACCGAACTATATGAGTGCTGCCAAGGGAAAACCTGTCATCGGGCTTTCAATATTCAGTTTATTTACTGAGCGCCGTCTAGGGAAAATTTATTATCGGGCTTTTAATTATAGTTGGTAACAACTTGCCACAAAATATAATTGGAGCCCGATGATAGATTTTCCCTAGATGACACACAGTAAACAAACTGGACATTGAAAGCCCGATGACAGGTTTTCCCTTGGCAGCACTCATATACTGTATTATGAAATTCAAAAATTGAGTTCATAATTCATTGAAGAACGTCACAAAAAAACAAACCGAATGGTTAAACAAATAAACTAAAACCAAATGATTAAACAGAAATAGAGTTATATTTTAAAATGTTAAACTTCAAATTATTTGGATTATTTCTATGTATTGTATATACATTGTAAATTGCGTTAAATATTGCTTTATATGATCGTTATTTAATTGAAAAATAAAATTTTATCGTTAGAAAAAAATCATCGAAACTTAATTTCTGGACTATCCTCCGAGCGATCATCTGATCTCAACCTGGTACATATTTTCTGGGTGCTATTCGAACTATAGTTGTGCTCTATTACGATCACTACGTAGCTAGTCGCATCGGGATTGAGGTTTGAAAACACTTATTTGTGGCAAAGATGTTTAGCATAAGCAGTAAGGCAATAATCTACTGACGCTGGTAACGATTTTGAAGATTCAAAAGTTAAGCAATTGGACAATTATTTTTTCTAGTTAATGGAATTTTTTAATAATCATTTGTTTACTGAAATCATAAATACTCTTGATTAATTAAATAATTTTTCATTAATTAAATTTTTATCTTTAATGCTGATGAAACAATGAAATTTTAATTATGCTGAAAATTTTACTACCATTATATGATAAAATTTTTTATATATATTCTAGAAGCTACTGATATCATTTGTTTTCCGTTCTGGAATGTATATGTTGTGTATCATAATCATGATTATTATTTTCTATATATTTGATGCGATTAGATGACTTGGACTATATAGATTTTTTCTCTAATACTCTAAATAGCTATATTACTTATAATGATCTTAATCATAGTAGCAAAGCCTCAATGTTGTTTATAATGTATAAAAGCACATTGATAACTAACTGGGTAAAAGATAATAAGTAAATAAAATCACAATAAAGATAATCTAATCTGAGAATCCAGAACTGGTAATCCAAATCTATAGTCCTACTTCGAATTGTTATATAGGGGTGAATAATTTTTTGTATGTTCAAGTTAAGGTTATGTTTTTGATACATTTATGATGAGTATTTTATTAAGATATCAAAAATATTATTTATACTAGATAACCTTCTAAAATGGTAACAAAACAAATAAAAAATGTGCAATTTTTGTATTTTTGCAACTATTCTGCTTGAAATATCTTTTACAATAGTTAATAAATGTAGATATCAAAATTTATATTTGTATTTAAAAAAATACTCTTCTTTTATTCTTATAAGAAGTTCAAGCTTGTGATTTGTACTTGTATTTGAAAAAAAAAATCTTTCTTTCATTTTTGCAAAAAGTTCAACTTGTATCTTTATAAATATTTGAGTATTTGTAAAGATATTTTTTTTTATCTACTTTTATAAATTAATTATAGATAATAAGAGTGTAGTAACTTAAAGTAGTAGTTAAGTTGTCATCTTCAAGTGGCAGATCTAGAGTTTGAATTCCACAAGAGATGTTTTTAAAAAAAATCTGTATATTGATAATGTTTATACAATGATCAGTTGGGTATATTACCTGTAACTTTAGTATTATCATCTCAAAATAGAAGCTCTTAGCTGATTCAAATTCAAAAAACTGAAATATTTAAAATCTGTTTAGCAAGATCTGAGCAAGAAGGTAGTGATAATCTTTAATAATACTATAAAAGCTAGAACTAGAAATTAAAGAACTAGATAAAAACCTTAGAGTAAAAAAGTGTTATCAATCTGGCTGCCAGAGTTGCACTAGAAAAAAAATTTTATATTACAAAATTAGAAACCAAGTAAAGTAAAATCAGAAAACAGAAACTCTTTCTGTCAATCACTTACACAAAATTTAACTAAAAATTTGCCAGTCAAAAATTGTTAATAACACATTATTTTATTAAAATAATTGCCTTTGGCAGCCTAAATAAATTTTGTTCAGCTCAAAATTTTACATATAATCTGAAAGTTTCAAGTCTCTATCTTGGAAACTTGTAGCAAAACGCTACAAAAACTACTTTTGGTTTTAAAACTCCAACTTTTAATTATTTCTCTAAAACCATCTTCACAACTTATCTGACAGCTCTAGAATAAGTTGTTAAGCCCACCTACCTGGTCAAAACAAGCCTTTAACAAAAGATTTTGATCCAATATTGACCAAGTTACTAATGGAAAACTCTTTTAACTCCTCTATAAAAATTTATTAAAAAATTCTTTGTTTTTATCCCCAACTTTTTTCCCTTCAACCCGTTTTTTGTGTAATAGTAAATCACCTCCAAATTTAGATTTAATTAAATTTTCTATTGTATCAATCAAATTACCCAAAATAGTAATTTAATTAATAATACAAAGCTATTTTTATCATTTGTTATCTACTATTATTTTTATACAATCTCTGTACTTCAATATACTATTTAGTACTATGTGTAACTTCTTTGTTATACCAGCCACACCAGTCATACTCTTATATCACCCAATACTAATTTGGGTTACATGGGGTTACATGAGATTACACAAGCCACATCAGCTGCAGCTATAATACAACAACCCCTGTCTATACCTACCCTTGTGATAATGCTCTGCTATTACTGCAATATTACAAGTTTTTCTACCAATATATCTAGAAATTTTACTAAGTTAATCTATTTTGTGCTCTTAAGCAAAATTTAATAACAAGATGCCGCCTACTTCTATTGTCCAAAACCCCAACATCATTGATCTTGATACCTATTTTAAAAGTTATGCAAATTGCTGGGGTATTGCTATCCACGAAGATAACCTTGAAGATATCAAAGTTATTCCTAGTGGATTCGAGCCAAAATCCTGTATTACAACAAATACCAGAACCCTCAAAGCTACCAATTTCTTAAAAGCACCAGTAACAACCGCAACAATTCAATGCCTTTGCCACAATTATCATTCACACTTTGTCTCAGAAACCGATACTTATTATATCTCTACTTTTATGACTCCTATTATATCTAAATATCAAAAAAAGAAAAATACTAACCAAGCTATGTCCGAAAAAATTACTCAAGCTCTAGTCTCAACTTCATCAACTATCCAAGCCTCACCCTTATCCTCCTCTTATACCCATACTTGCCAAAAATGCTAGGTACCAATCAACTGCAAATCGATTAATGGTAACCACCAACTTCCAGAATATGCTCTCTTCCTTAACAGTCAAGTTTATCATAAAGAATGTCTACAAGAACCTCAACAATTATCTAAACATACACCTAAACAACAGCTTTCTAACCCTCTTAATCCTACACTTGGCCTTTTCACTTTATTAGAAGACACCAGTATGACTTCTAATAATGATATGAATATTGATGATCAACAACAACAGTACAAACAGCAACAACCTTTATTTAAACAACAATCCCAACAATATCAACCACCACCACACCAATATACTGACTCATTAAACAAAGACAACACTAATGATCAACAACAATTAACAGGCAAAGGAAAAGGGAAACAAACTGCAACCAACGAGACTGATA